GGGGGGGGGATTGTATGGCGTAAAGATGACTGAAAAACAAGAGAAGGGTGTCGCAGTCTGATTGTACGATGAGAAGCCATCCAAGCATAAGCCAAGTCTCATGTTAGGTTCCATTGCAACAAGCTCGAGAAGTATACAATCAAAAATTTTCCATGCCTCCCCATCTGCAAGTTGATTCATTGAATTGATATCTCCTGACTTGCTAAGATGTCACATCATATGTGGAGCAATACACGAGAAACAAATAGTCTCTGAAGATGTGGAAGAAGCGGTGGATGGAAGAGACGTTTGTAGGAAAATTTTTTCTGACTCTTATGTTTTTATTTTGAGGTTTAAATCTCAGAGAATTATAGAATGTAGATTGAGTCTCTGTTGTGCTAGACTTATAAAATAAAATGTATCCGTTCACGCAACAATCAATCTTCTCTATTTTCATGTCTGGCTTGGAAACAAGTTTTTCCATCCGGTATAAATCTTTGGAACTAAATTTTCTTTTATATTAGTCTATTTCATTAATTTGGTAAACTAGTTGAAGTAGTACTTTTGGGGCATATTAAACTCTATTTTAATTTTTAGCATTTTAAGAGCTACAAATAACTTAGAATGAGAAATGCATCCCTTCCGTAGAGGCAGTAAATCATAAAAAGTTTGATCCACCTGATTTGGTGTCTCTTCCTTCACTTGACTCGAGTAATGCATTGTTGACCCATCAAAGATCATCTCTTCAAAACTACTTGAGTGAAATCTCGATGGAGGATCATAGCTCGTCGAAGGAACTGAGTTGAATGTTGTAGGGTTAACCTCCTTATGCAAAGTCCAAATCCGGTAAACAGGCTGAAACCTATGACGATATAAATCATATCTTACTTTCTCAGGTGTTAAGTATGATTGATTCCTATATTTTCAGCATGGATATCAAAACCTATCATTAGATAGGTAAGATGAAAGTTGCGATGCTGTAGCCATGAAAACCTCTCCATAGTTCAAATACTCTTCGGTGATCCCTTTTATATCTGGATAATGTATATTGTACATCCATGAGCTTGATGTACGAATATCTATGTTTACTTCCAAAAATGAGTACATAGGGTTTAATTTTAGTAGTTGACATAATCACAGAGCTATATAAAATGGTGATTAAATTGTTAGAAAGACTAAATATTTTAGATAACTCTAACAATGTTAATCACTTGAAAAATTGATTGATTTGAATATTGGCAACTAGTTACGAGCCAAAACGTTAGATCAAATTTCTTTCTATCCAGCCCAAGTTCAACTAGAAAGCGAAACATTAATAGTTTATTGTTGTTAGGGCTGCCGAAGACTGATAATCAATTTATATATATATTTTTTTGAATTTTTGGATATAATCTTGTTTATCGTCACAGCTACACCAAACCTTGCATGAGTTTTTTTTTTTCACATTTTATTAGTGGAAAACCAATCATAAATCTAAACATTCTCGTCTCTGCAAACTCATACATGATTAATTGCACACCTCAAAATATATTCTTAGAAAAAAATATTTCACATGATGTAAGAGTTTTCACTACATCATCTAATGCCAGTCTAATTTTCATTCCCAAAACGGAAATTCACTTCGAAATATATATTTCACTTCCAAAATGGAAATTTACTTCAAAATCTAATTTGCATTGCTAAAATGGAAATTAGGGCAACATAAATTAGATTTTGAAGTGAATTTCCATTTTCGCTCTGGAAATTAATTTTTAAGTGAATTTTCATTTTGGGAATGTAAATTAAACTTCACATTAGAAGATGTAGTGAAAATTCTTATATCATATGAAATATCGTCTTTTAAGAAAATATTTCGAGTTGTGCAATTAATCACATAAAAGGTTGCGAAGACGAAAATGACTAGTTTTATAATTGACTTTATAGTTGAAAGCAAAATGAAGATGATGTCTAATAATTTATTTACAACCATCTCCTTGAGGTAATGAAGATGATGTCTACATGTTGTTGATCATGATCACTAAAAAGTACTCTTTGAAGCTTTCTTTAAATAAATTCTCAAACCAAAGCTAGGGATTATCAACGCACAAAACGATTTCATAGGAATTTTGCGTTGCTGTGTTGCCATACTACCAAACATCGTTAAATAACATGCTACCAAACACTGTCAAGGCATGAAGTCATGTAAAAAAGAAGACGTGATGTTACCTTAGTCAATCGTTTCGGGTAGGAGACGAGTAGAAAGACAAAAATGAGAGTTCCGAGTCTCTGCAAGT